TGCTTGTAATCTTCTCAAGGCATTTTATGGACTTTTCTCCCTGGCTAGACTGTGACCTCCTCAAAGGCAGGGAGTCTCCTGCAATATATTTCCTTTGCTTCTCCTAATATGCTTTTTTTAAAAATGGTTTTTAGAGTAAGAGAGAGAGAGATTGATTTGTTGTTCCACTTATTTATGCATTCATTGGTTGATTCTTGTATGTTCCCAGATTGGGGATTGGACCCAGCTTGGCATATCGGGACAAGGCCCTAACTGAGCTACCTAGCCAGGTCCTTTCCTACTGTGCTTTGAAGTTACTTTGGCTACCGCTAATTCTAATTAACAACAAAAAAGCATCAGTAAGAGCCAATGTTTTCATTATTGTTTGTGTTCCCTGGCTTTCCCACTGAAACGTCCCCTACATATCTATCATAGTGAAGTACTTGTCACATTTACAGTTCACTTGTGCTGTGGCGATGAATGCCTGTGACGGGCCGAGTGGGAAGAGGGAAAACAAGCTCTTTGTTGAGCTTCAGAAGTTAGAAGTCGTTTTCTAGATGTGACGTTGGGTAAGTTACTGCTCCGAGTTTCTGGGATGTCTTTAAAATCACACCCAGATTGGCTCTAGGTCTCCAGGATACATGCAGAAGCAGTACCTTTTAGTATCCCTCCTAACCCATTTCTCCCTGCTTGGAGAGCACCTTTGCTTCCTTCACAGTCAGCAGTATCCTATCTAAACTTAGCTGCAATAATACCCACAGTGGACAAAATTTTGCCTCTGATGACTCTCCTACCATCAGTTTGACGGGTCTAATCTACACATCCCAGGAAGTTTGCTTATATTTCCAAGGTCAAACCTTAGTCTTTTACAACTAGAGCCAAGTGTAGATATTCCAAGGGCCCTATCCAAGCAATTGTCACAGCAGAGACCCAGTCTTAGGTCTTCTTGCTGCAGGGGAGAGGGGATGGAGGGCTGAGACTGGCAGGACCCTTGTCCTTGCAGTGGAACCTCACCATTAGGGTTCTGAATGACCCCAGGCTAGATCTGGGGTATGGGTCTTTCTAAAAAACAAAATGAAATAAAAATGTTTCCCCCAACCCTTTTATTTCAGGTCTAATAGTCTCCTTCCCCCTTTTATTCCCTCTGTACAGGTATAATATCAAGGACCAAACAATTGGCTTTATGTGCCTGGAATTAGCTCTTTCTCTAGAAATAAATCAGACAGAGAAAGACAAGTACCATATTTCACTTATATGTGGAATCTTAAGAACAAAATAAATGAACAAACAAAATAGAAACAAATTGTCCTCCTCCTTGGCTGAGGACAGTCTCCAGCCTGACTATAAATTTCCTAGTCTTGAGAGTCCAGATGGTGAAAGGGGAAACATGTCTAAGGTGTAAGGCAGAGCGAGAACCACCACCAGCCTTATTCTTGATAAACCACACTCAGGCCTGTAACAAACAGGGCTAGCCAAAGCTAACACCCAACGTCTTCTGTGAAAGCCTGCATGAACCCTGTCCTGTGACTCTAAAGAGACACAAAACAGATCCATAATCCTTCCATTTTCTCCCTTCATTTTTAGGCTTAGTGGCTGTTGATGAAAATCAGGTGGTGAGTTGCCACAGTTTACCTGCTGATGTACCATGGCAGCACCCTATGAATCTCACTATCAACTGTAAATATTAGATAGAACTATTAAGGATGAGCAGCCTCCCAGTACGTAGAAAGAAGAGAAACTCTTGCGATGCAGGGAACACTTTGGAGCCTGCCGGTAACCAGGGTGGCTGGGGCTGCTGTTCCCGGGGCCTGGCCTCATCAAATGTTAGCACTGTTTTCCCTCAGGAAGGGGAGGGTAGCCACGGTGGCAAGAAGAGTCTTGGTGAGCAGAGACCTAGACAGGAATCAGCCAGTCAGCAGCAGACGGAGGTCAAAATCAGAGTAAAGCACAAGGATCAGAATGACAGAGTAGACAAGACTCCCAAGAGTGAAGACAGAACTGAAGAGGTGGATATAAAGCTACACAAACTTCTCCCATTTCCCAGGCCTGGAGCACCCTGCTGAGACAATTTCCCAGTCACAGTCTTTGTACTCACTTATTTAATAAGAATAGCTCAGAAGCCAAAACCGGTTTGGCTCAGTGGATAGAGCGTCGGCCTGCGGACTGAAAGGTCCCAGGTTCGATTCCGGTCAAGGGCATGCACCTGGGTTGTGGGCACATCCCCAGTAGGAGATGTGCAGGAGGCAACTAATCAATGTTTCTCTCTCATCGATGTTTCTAACTATCTCTCTCCCTTCCTCTCTGTAAAAAATCAATAAAATATATTAAAAAAAAAAAAAAGAATATCTCAGAATCTCAGCTGTAGAACAAGTAATCTAGGATCAGAACATTCATCCCTCCAAAAAAGTGCATTTCCCACCTCAGGCAGTCAGTGGTATGAATCTGAACTCTCTCACTCACATTCGCACTGAGGTCTCTTCTCTGCATTTCCCAGGTTGGCTGGCACAGTCATCTTAGAATAATCCCTAAATGTGAAATGTCTGTTCTCAGGAGTCATCATTTCCACTGTGAAATTCTAAGTGATAGAGAATGAAGACTAAGGATCCAAGATTAATTATCAGATTAATTTGCCTAAAACCAATTTATCTAGAGATAATTAGTCTAAAATAAATATTTATCAAATCTGCAGCATTTTCAAAAGAATCTAGCAGATTCACCCTTTCACTATTTAATGATGTTGTCTGTATAACCTTGAATTGTTAGTCTACTGAATAAGCCACATGCCTGTTCATTTGCTTTGGATATATTGGCATTTTAACAGCATGGGTGTAGAAGTTAGACGAAAGCATAAAATCATATTGAGCTTCGTTATTTTTTTCAGGGCATCTAATTTGTAAAGGAATATTGGATTAAGAAACACACACAAAAAATGATACACAAAATGTCTGTACCAATTATATTTATTGCTAGAAACTTTAAGCTTTTTTAAAAAAGTGTTTGAAAAGCAAATAACATAGAGATACCCATCAAGGTAGGAGGAAGCAATCTTATCATTTACAAAGTGCTGCAAATTTGATAAATTTATGTTGCTGGTAATTCAGAAGTACTCTTGGATGAATAGATATAAATCCTTGAAATACCCAAAGCATGACAAAAAAGAATAGAATACCTAAATGGCTAAAAAAATAAAAATAAAAAAATACCCAAAAGGGATTTGAGCCTTTGGCAGTGGTAGTAACTTTAAACACACAGGTTTTCAGTGAAATGGTTTTAAGAGATCTAGCTTTAGGTAAACGAATTTCAGCAAAACTGAACTAGAACCAAGTCAAAGTGTTCTGCCCCTGTGGCGCCCCAGAACCCCAGAATTTGGGAGTTACAGTAGATGTAATCCTGGATCCCTCTGAAAGGTGGCAGCTCCGGAGTAGTGAGCTGCTGCTAGGGACCAGGTGCAGGAGTGACCTGAGAAGAAGGGAGCGAGTAGGTGTGTGAGAACATGCTCCTGGGTGCCTGTACTGGGCAGGAGGGCTCCATGCACTTACACCTGGGGAGTGTGACTAGCTCGAAGCTTCATAAATGTCTCCCCCAGCAATGCCAAACCCCAAGGCCTACTCATTACCACCTCCACCAGCTGAGAAGTACAGGCACCCAGTTAGTCTTCCCAGGCTCACGTGAGTCCCTGAGAATCAGGCAATACAGGCAGCAGGCCCACCTGGAGCTGGTCTCTATTCCCAGCCTTGAGGTGAGCAGCTCTCTTAGTCCTTAGAGAGCAGGTGGCCAAGAAGTAACTCGTTTATAAGGTCCACCTCTTCATCTAGGTACAGAAATAAGAGACGGTGGTGTGGTAAGAACCTGTTTGACCTCCTATCTGACCCCGTGTGTGGGTACAAAATAGTTAGGAGCTTCCATGATGTCTTCCCTTCCTGTAATCCAGGACCACAGCATTTGCTGATTTACACATAGACTTATACTGGAAATACAGACTAGAATCAGACCTTTACAGTGTATGGGAGCCGCCTGTGCGTGCTTAAGTATAGGCTACAGCACAGGTTGCACATGTGGGAAGGAAGCCAGTCACCCCCACCATGGCAACTGGGAGGTTCCTGCTCCACAATCCATTTGGAATGTCATGATCTTTGGGTCTCTGGCCCTGGGGGCCCTCCCCAAAGGACTCTTCTGCCAGGCCTGCAAGGTACACCCTTGCCTCAGCTGGCCTCAGGGGCCCCTGGCCAGAGGAATTTGTCAGTGGTGGTGATGGCAGCAGCAGTGACCGCAGCTCAGATATAGTTGGCAGGGGGCTGTCGAGCGTTGAGCCGCTGCATGTGACAGCTGTGGCAGAGCAAGTGCCCGTCCAGAGGGAAACAGCAGCAGCCTTCTTCATCGCTCAGCTGCATCCGGCAGTCCTAGGGGAAAGGGACACCTAGTTCACCTCAGCCCAGGCACCTTGGACATTTAGGAGTCTGCCCTACTCAACGCCAGACTTCCAATGACTAGAGAAAAAGGGTGGGTTGGAAGGGATGGACTCCCAGAAGAGAAACCTGAGAAAATACCTCGGCTGGACACCAGGTGTCGCTGCTATAGCAAAAATAATGAGACAGGCTCCCATTTCCAGCGGATATCAGGAGACCCTATTCAGAAAGGACTAACCAAGGAGGGCCAGAGAGAGTGGCTGGAGGAGGAGATAGATTGGAGATAGGTCAGAGCACTTTACTCGAGTTCATGGTCTATACTTCACTATAGTCAAGAGCACTTTCCTAGAGTTCATGGTCTATACTTCACTATAGTCAAGTCTAGGGCTTGCTCTTGCCTGAGTCCCATTCCCATTTTCCAGGAGTCCTGGCCCCCAACACTCACCTCACAGTGGTAGCACTCGAAGTGATAATCTCGGTCCATGGATATCACCCTCACAATGTCCTCACAGCCCTGAAATAATGCAGACCCTATGGAGATGAGAGCCGTTTGACAGCCCAACTTCACCCTCCCCTGCACAGGCCCCTGCCACCCCAATGGGAAGATCACACAAAGGCCTCCAGAGCCCCTCTGCAATCATCTGTAGCTTTCTGGTGGGCTTTGCAAATCCTCCTGGAACTTCCCTCCCTTTCCTTGTCTCCAGGGCGTGGCCTTACCTATCTCTACCAGCTGTAGGGGAAGCAGAGGGAAGGGAAAGGGGCAGGCAGCATAAATAAAGGAGGTTAAGCTGGGGACAGGAGGTCCAATAGTGCTCGTTTGCTTTGGCTAAGCACAACCTCAGCACACACAGGATAAATCATTCCCAACCTTTTCCTACAGGCCCTGAGGACTCCCCCCCCCTACCCCCAAATTTGAGTGTTTCTAAACATTTCTATATTTCTGAATTATTCAAGAAGGAGTCTGCACAGCTGGCATGGCTTGATGGTTGAGCATTAATCTATGAAGCAGGAGATCACGATATAATTCCCAGTCAGGGCCTGTCCTCAAAGAAAGTCTGCCTCCCTGGACTAGGAGAGAAGAGACAGAGCCTGGGCCCAGTGCGGCTGTCAGACATGTCCAGGCCCGGATGTTAGGGTCAGGTTGGTAACCCCGAGAGCAGAGTCACACGGGAATCTTCACAGAGTACATTCCTCAGCACCACAGCACCCCAAGGGAGTCCAGGCCGCACGTTCCCATCCCTTCCCCAGAGGCAGCAGCACTGGCTGCCCTGCAGGAGAACCCAGACATACTGACCTCTGAGGGGAGGATGGGTTGGTTGCAAGCCGCACATTTAGGAGCATAATTTCTGAAAGAGAGAGGGCAGAGATGAGCCGAGATTCGGAAATCCTGAGCCCAGCTCCACAGCGTACCGCGAGGGGTGGACTCACTTGTGGTAGTCGGTGACACAGTACACCTGGTTGGAGAAGTCTACTGTGAAGGGGATGCCATCCAGGCACTTGTTGCACACGATGCACCGGAAGCAGCCTGGGTGATAGGACTTTCCCATTGCCTGTAGGATCTGGCTCGTGGAGTGGGAAGAGAATCAGTCTCCCTCCAGTCCCACCTTCCCAGCTACCCGTGATGTTCCCTGCTCTCACAAAACTCACCCAACCCCCTGCTATCCTTCCAGAACAATGCTATAGAATCTGAGGGGACCAAGGAGTCTTAGAGTGGAGGCAGCGCCCTGGCCGGTGTGGCTCAGTTGGTTGGGCATTGTGCCATGCACTGAAAGGTTGCCTGTTTGATTCCCAGTTAGGGCAAATGCCTGGGTTGTAGGCTTGATCCTTTGTGGAGGGAGTGCAGGAGGCAGTAGATGGATGTTTTTCTCTCCTCTCCCTTTCCTCTCTCTCTAAAAATCAATTTTTTAAAAAGTGGAGGCAGAAACCCTGAAAAAGGCTTTAGAGAGCTAATGGTTCTCAGCCCTGGCTGCAGAAGGATCATCCAGGGAGCTTTTAATATTTTTATTTTTAAAATCCTCACCTGAAGACATGCTTTTATTGATTTTAAAGTGCGAGGAAGCGAAAGAGAGAAAAACACCTATCAGTTGTCTCCTGCACACACTTTGTCTGACAGGGGATTGAACCTGAAACCTAGGTATGTGCCCCGACCAGGAATCAAACCAGTCGCATATTGGTGTATGGGATGATGCTCCAACCAACTGAGCCACGCCGGCTGACACACCCAGGGAGCTTTTAAAGACCAGCAAAGCTAGGGACCCCAGGATTTCATCCAGGCATATTCCTCACAGTGTCTGGTGAGGACCCAGGCTTTGGCATTTTTCTTTGCTTCTTCTCAGGTGATCTGCTGGGCTGACAGGGCTGAAAACCACTGATCTAATCCAATCCCCCTTTCTTATAGAAAAGAAAACTGAGTTCCAGCTGATCCTAGCTAGTAGCAGAAAGGGGACTGAAACCCAGAACCCCATAGTCCTAGCTCAGGTGGGGGGCCAGGCGGTGCCTGCAGAATTAGGGAGGGGCCGGATCACACAGGCCTAGGGATGGCAGCATTAGGTGTGGGACTTGATGTCAGAGGCAGGGAAGCCACTCTCAACAGTTGCTCTGGGAAGGAATGGATGAAAGTGATTCATCTGGTGATAGGTGTGTCCCCCCCGCCCCCAAACCCCTTCTCAGTATCCATTTAGTCTCCAATTCCACCCCTCAGCCTCACTCAGAGTCTCTGCTAAAGACATTTGCTTACCTTTTCCAAAATCAAGTGACCACAAACGCAGCATTTCTCAGCTGCCTCCTGAAACCCTGAAAACTAGAGACCAAGGGAGGATATTATAAACTGAGAATGACCTGATGGGTGGAACTCCAATGAGCCACCAAAAGGGGTGTCCCAGAGTGGGAGCCAACTCTAAGCCCAGGGGATCCCTCTCACTCACCAGATAATCTTCCTCACAGTACACAGAGCCATTGACGCTGTAGAAAGCCTTGCAGCGCAAAGTTCGCCCTGGAAGCAGCAGAGAAGGGGCTGGAGCCTGTCCTGGTGCCCAGGACAGGGCTTCCCTGCTTACTGCTCTCCACTGTGGTGTGTTAAACCTGGACTTTAGTGCTTACCTCCTCCCTCCCCACACAAAAATCCCATCTGATTCCTGCCAACCTCCCCTCTTCTCAGCCCACTGCTCCTCCAGCTCCTGCCTCAACAGTTTTCTGTAACTCTGTCTCAAATGAGTGCCTTCCTCCCCTCTGCATGGGGAGCCACCTGGGGAAGCAAAGCCAACCATAGGCTGGAGTGCATGGTCAAAGGAGCTCCGAAAGCCCTAGCTGGTTAGAGTGTCAGCTCTCAGACTGAAGGGTCATGGGTTCAATTCCAGTCAAGGGCATGTACCTTGGTCGCAGGCTCGATCCCCAGCCCCGGCCTGGGTGTGCGGGAGGCAGCCAAATGATGTCTCTCTCACATCCACGTTCCTCTCTCTTTGTCTCTCCCCTCTCTTCCACTCTTTCTAAAAACCAGTGGGGGGGAAAATCCTCAGGTGAGGACTAACAACAACAAAAGGAGCTCTGGAAAAGGTGGTGTACAATGTGCATGGAGTTGATCACACTGTCACAGGCCTGGCCCTCTGGGACCTTTCAACCCAGGAGCCTCCTTGTTGAGCACAGCTCTCCTGTTCTCCTAGCCTTGTCTCTCTCCAGGGAGAGGCCCTACGGAGGCCAGCAGGCCAGGACTTAGTGGAGTTACTGCCCAGGACAAAGTGCTTTGTTTGGGAGCAAAGTTGGTCCTCTTTCCTGCTGCGCTAAGCTCTACCCCAAGCTTACAGGAACCCAGTCTCCCGGGTCAGAGGCAGCTCAGGATGCCCTATGAGCAGACAAGGCAGGACCATTCCCCATGTAACTAACACCTAGGAACTCCTCCAAGGCATCTAAATGGTCAGGAATGGGGGAAAAGTGAGACCATGGCGGAGAATGAGCAATTCTCACACCTTTGCCCTCTTCTCATCAAAATCTCCCAGAGGCTTAGAAAAGCTGACTTAGAAACTCATGAGACACAGGGGAGTAGAGGAAAAGAGACATACCCAGAAGGGGTCCCATAAACAGAAGGACAGACAGATAGATGAACCTAAAGAGAACCAGGCAGAGGCTGGGGGTGGAGGAGTGAGAGAAAAACTGAGTGCTGGAGTCAGACAGGCAGAGATGGGAGATTAAAGGGTTAGCAAAGGAATCAGAGTGGGAAAGCAGTGGGGAGGAGGTAATGAGGGACGTGAGGGAAGGGCTGGGGAGCTAAGGCCACTGGGAGCAGGTCCCCTCCCCCTTGCCTTGGGCCTCCTGAGCTAACAGCAGGC